AAATATACTATAAGCATATAAACCTAGAAAATTAATAATTGTGATGATCCAATAGGTCATCTCATGTTTTGGAACTAAATTATGTATTCTGAAGCCTTAAATATCCCATTTTAGCTTTTCTCAATTTGCGTGCGCGGTCCATGTGTTTTTTCGGAAGGCTTATATGTTAAAAACTGATAAAAATAAGAATTTTTGCCATAAAAATTAGTTTGAATTGACTTCGGTCAAAGTTTTAAGCAAACGAACCCGGATCCCTATTTTGATGGTCCCTGTGTGTCCGTATCGTAATTTGGGACCTAGGCGTATGTTAGGAATCGAATTCCGAGGTCCCTAGCTCGAGATATGAATTTTTGATGAAAAATTAAAGTTTGAAAGTTTAATGATTTTACGAATTTGATTGATGTCTGATCTTGTTGATATCGGGTCCGTATTTTAGTTCCGGAGCCCGGTACAGGTCTATTATTATATTTATGACTTGTCTGTGAATTTTGGTGAGAAACGGAGTTGGTTTGACGTGATTCGGACGTTCGGTTGTGAAAATAGAAGGTTTTAAGTTTTTTTGAAAATTTCATTGGATTTGGTGTTCAATTCGTAGTTCTAGGTGTTATTTTGGCGATTTGATCGCGCGAGCAAGTTCGTATGATATTTTTGGACTTGTGTGCATGTTTGGTTTGGAGCTCCGAGGGCTCGGGTGAGTTTTGGATAGGCTACAAAGTATTTTGGAACTTAGAAAAATCTGGTTTTCTGCAGCTTCAGGTGCCTACTGGTTTCCTTCTTCGCATTCGCGAAGGTCCTCTCGCGAACGCGAAGTGTGAGCTGGGCTGGGGATGGTTTTTTTCTACGCGAACGCGAGGCCTTGGTCGCGAACGCAGAGCACTGGGGGTCTGCTCTTCGCGAACGCGACCGGTAACACGCGAATGCGTAGAGTTATTGGAGGTGGGCTGGGGACTTGACCGTTGTTCTATGCGAACGTGAGGTAGGTATTGCGAATGCGGAGGTTAGGGGGATAAGCCTACGCGAATGCGTAGAACAACTCGCGATCCCGTAAGCCACTCGGGCTGCTGCTCTACGCGAACACGACAGTGTTCACGCGAACGCGATGAACACTACGCCCAGTGATAAAATAGTCCCATTATGGGATTTTTGCCATTCTTTCAAAATTTCAAAACTAGAAGACCTAGAAGCGATTTTCCCAAGAGATTTTCTTCCCCAATTTGTTGGTAAGTGTTCTAACCTACTTTCTTTCAGTTATCAATTATATTTAATGAGATTTCAACCTAAAATCTAGGATTTTCATGGTGGAAATTGGGGGTTTGGGTAGAATTAGGAATTTTTGTAAAATTAAAATTTAGACCTCGAATTGAGGTCGGATTTTGAAATAAATTACATATTCGGGATCGGGGGTGAATAGATAAATGGATTTTGGTCCGAACATGGGTTCTGACCAAGCAGGCCCGGGGTCGATTTTTGACTTTTTGGGGAAAAGTTTGGGAATTCTAAATTTATGCATTGTAATTGATTCCTTTAGCAATATTTGATATTATTGAGTCAACTATGGCTAGATACGAGTGGTTCGGAGGCGAATTATAGGAGGAAGGCCCCGGTAGAGCTTTGAATTGGTTGCAGAGTGAGGTAAGTGTTGTGTCTAACCTTGACTTGAGGGAATTAGGAACCCTCGGACTATGTGCTATGTGATTCTCATGTGAGCGGCGTATATGCAAGGTGACGAGTGCTTATACGCCGCCGAGTTATCAGTTTTTCCCTGATTTACCGCTTTTTCTTAATTATTTCCTTTCATGTCTTAGTTGTTATATGTTCTAAATGCTTTTCATGCTTAACTGCTACCTGTTAATCAATATATTCTCCTGTTAATGATGTTAGCTCTTCTCATAGTTTCACGAATCCCTGCTATTTGCTTAAATTGACTTGTTTGCGCCTTCTAGTGGTAAATTGCTGGATTGGTCTCGCTGTGTAGTATTACTTGTGTAGATTCTTATGTTGTACGAGGTTTCCTTTTCGGTTCAGTCTGACATTTATTGATCGTAAAGGTTCTGTGGTTTGAACTGTTGATTTGACTGTATACGTTGAGTGTTTGGTACTGATATGGTGGAGCGGGCTGCACGTCGCAACATGTGTAATAATGGATTGATATGGTGGAATAAGGGTAAATTCGTACTGTACGGTGGGATCGGGTTGCACGCCGCAACAGGTGGAATAAGGGTGGGTTGTTATGGTGAAATAATGGTGAATTATGATACTGATATTGATATATGGTGGGATCGGGTTGCGCCCCGCAACATATACATATTATTTACTTTTGTTGATATTATTACGGTGAAATAAGGGAGGATTTTGTGTTGTCTGGTGGGATCGGGTTGCGGGCCGCAACAACTTATGTGTTTCCATTTCTTGAGTTGTGTTGGTTTTCGGTATTCTCATTTGAACGGCTAAGGATTGGTAATTCTGGACAATACTGGTTTATTTCCTGAGGCGGTAGTTATCATTTTCAGTTGACTGCTTCTTCCTGTTCAGTATTTTTATTTTTCTATCATTATTATCTATACTGCGTACAGGTTGTAATGTAAGTGACCCGCCTTAGCCTTGTTACTACTCCGTCGAGGTTAGGCTCGATACTTACCAGTACATGGGGTGGGTTGTACTGGTACTACACTCTGCACTTCTGTGCAGATTTTGGAGTCGGTCCCAGTGGCGGCTACTAGAGAACTCGGACTAGACAACCTGCGGGGACTTGAGGTACAGCTACTCAGCGCCCGCAGCTCCTGAAGTCCCCTTCTTTGTTTGTATTTAGCTGTGTATTTTCATTCAGATAGCTTTGTATTTATTTCAGATCCTTGTATGTATTACTCTAGTAGCTCGTGCACTTGTGACACCAGGTTCAGAGATTTTGTAGTAGGTGTTTGACAGTGTTAGCTTCCGCATTCATATTTAAGTTATTTTAGTATTTCTCGTTATTTAATTCAATTGTTAAAAATGGATAATAGGTTCTAACGTTGGCTTGCCTAGAAAGTGAAATGTTAGGCGCCATCGCGATCCCGATAGTGAAAATTCCGGGTCGTGAGAATAATCTACATATGGATTTGGTGCGAGATATTTGAATTTAAGAGATTATATATTGATTGGCGCAATCCCTATTTTCAAGTTCCAAAATAAGATATTTTAGGGATATCAAAAAGTTGTATCTAATTAAATTAAAAAGTTAAAAAAAAAAATTATAATAAATTGTATGTAATGTTTTCTTAAATAGTTGTATTTCTTATGAATAACTCTTTTATGTTTGTATTCTAGGTAATTTTTTTATATTTGTCCATAGTCTATAGTCTACTACTCCAAGAATACTGGACCAAGAGTTGATAATATGTTGTGGACCAAACAGGAGAATCCAAAGACTAGTCTAGTAGTTGGGAGACCCTGTTTAAATATGGTTTCAATAAATTTTTGAGATATGAAAAATAAACTGTAATCATAAATAAAATATAAAAAAAATAATCTTATTGATAAACAATGTAAGTACAATATGTTAATCCCTTGAATCCTCTCTCTGAATTATTCTCCGTGATTCCAGGGCTTAAGCAACATATTTTTAGAATGATGCTTACCTCCTTGTATTTGATCTCCATGAAAGTTGGACAGTACTTTGAATGGATCATGCGAAATTATTTGCCTTGATCGTTCCTTCTTGTTTTATCAATCGAGGGCCAACGTGGCGTATCTTTCAAACGAAAAAATTGTGTGGACTTCGTGCAGCCGCATTTCGAGTTGGTCTTGAAGAAGAGTGTTTCTTGATCACTCCGGCTTTGAAAAATACAATATTTGATGTCTTGATCTCATCCCAAGCACTTACAACTTTTTGGATGGTGTTAGTTGCTGTATTGTTACTTTAAATACAATATTTGTTTTGATTGTTACTTAAATTTTATCGTATCGTATCGTTAAATCTGTCGTTACGTAACGACGAAAAGTTTCACTTTATGGAATGACCGATTTGGTGTGGCTGCATCGTTACCTTTTTTTTCTTCTCATCTTACCCTTCATTATTATTAAATAATCCTATTTTATCCTTCAGCCTACAGTCTTATATAATAATTATACCATGTACTTTACTATTTCTTTATTATATTGTAAGTTTATTATTCATATTATTGGTGCGAATCATGAATTGACGACAAACAATACAATTTATCCAAATATTATATACATCAAAACGATACAATACAATATGATACTATACGACACATTATGAAACGATACATAACAACCATCCAAACAAGCTGTTATAGGAAGGAAATATGTACCTTTTTAGAGGCGTCATTTTAGGATAAAGTAGCCTTCAAGAAATCCTTAATAGACTTTTGGGCTTGAAGACCATAGATTGAACGGAAAATTGCGCGACACATCAAACATTTACACTGTATTTACAATTTGTAGCTATACTTTTAGCAAATTTACCATTCGTACCTATATTTGAATTGTATAACAAATCCATGAAATAAGAGATTAAATTGTTTTGAACTAAAAAAGAGAGCAAGAAGTTCTCATAGCTCAGTTGGTTAGAGCGCCTGCTTAGCTGGTTTGATACAAGTTGTATTCTTTGTATACACGATTGTATTCCGCCTTGGTTACAGTTTATACATATTGTATTCGTTGCACGAATAGATACAATTGCGCGAACGAATACAGTTGATACAAGTAGTATTTATTGCGCGAACAAATACAGTTGACACAACGAATACAATTGATACATGTAGTATTCATCGCGAGAACGAACACAATTAACATATACTATATTAATTGCGCGTTTGAATACAAGTGATACAAGTTAGTAATAACTGAACAACAGCTACGAATGTTAATTAGGCAAGTTATAGTTATTAGGCTCTAAAATACGGTGGTTCATGAAAATTCCACTTATCATGTAGGGATCCAACCTAATAGACTTGATCCATAATAAGCCCATTAACATTTTTTTTGGTTGATGAGAGACAATTGGCACACAACATAATAAGAGATATAAATGATTCAAGATCCGTAGGTACATGGAAATAGGGATGGCACTGATTGTGAGAACTTCATACTTGATAGTCGTCCCTCGTCAATCAAATTCTAATTTCTATGCCTGAAATACTCAGACACGCGTTTCCCGCGTTCCAAAATCTTGTCGCAGTAAGTAAAATATACAACCTTAGAGTTATACACTCAGTAGATAGAGACAGGACACAAATTTTATTACTATGGAGAAAACCCTTGCCTATAAGCAAACTCGCCCCTCCTCATAGTCATAAATCTTGAAAAAAGTTATTAATGTCTCCAATGGACCCTTTTACGATCACCCAATGGCAATTAGGTTAGTACTTTCCACTCCAGCATTTTTCCCTTTTTTTCAACTTTAATCGCTATTGGCATTTGTTTCTTTTTCCCTTTCGGGTCATTCTGAATGCCTTTTCAGTGGACCCATTTCATTGATTATAATAAGGAATTGGGTGGTGGTGCTGAATTGTTGATTATAAAGATTTGGTTTTCTGAGTTATGGGAACTTCTGGATGCTATTCCCATGGTATCGTTTCCTGTTGTTTTTGTCCCCTCATATTTTGACGGATGCTACTTACTTATTTCCGCTCCTGATTCTGAGCATGTATTGGTTCTAGTGTGTTAATTGTCTGTAATTTGGTTGCCAATTAGGGCCTAGGCCATAAACCCAAATGTGAAGTCACTGAAGCTTTCTTCATCTTTTCCTTTTGCTCAAAGATTATGTGTGAATTGTATCCAGAGGTATATTAACTTTTTTTAATGCCATACTCAAGGTTCTTTGTTTCCTGGGCCGGTAAGTCTTCTAGAATACTGTTCTTAAATATCTAAGGAAGGTTAACAATAACCACCAAGTTTGTCGGATAGAATGGATTTTAAGCCTTCTTAGACATTGCAGTTACTAATAAAAGGGGAAAGAGGTCCTGAAGTTATTTTGGTAAAAAAAAAATTATGGGGAGTGATCTATAGCCTATTGTCGGATCAATCTGAAAGATTTGGATGTTAAAAGCTACTAAAATCTTTAAAGGAGGAGGTAAAAACTGATTTAACTATCAATTGTCAAATAAGAAGAAACTATGGTTTTTGATTCTAAAGCAACTGATCCAACTTTAGTTGTTTGGTAAAATAAGGGCAAGCCTCAGTCTGCAGACAAACTTACTTGATACCAGTGAAGCAGCAGAGGCTAATGGATTACTTTGTCCTACTTTCTTGTGCATATTTATGGACGTCGAAATAAATTGTCCAAGTACTTGGATTTGAGTTAAAAGTATCATTTCGTAGATTCTAGGAGTTTGTTTGTACAAGCATAAACTTCAGTTCTCCTTCCCAGGTTTCTGCTTTTAGAACTTCATTACTTATTGCTATTACATTTGAATTTGTTTTGTTTTTTGCACTATCTTGTAGAGATGTATCAAAATGTGAATGCTTGTCTTAGTTGTGGTTGTGTTTCTCTCATCGGATAAGATCTTGAGTAAGACATACAAATTTGGATTAATGGATAAGCCGATATGCATACTAAAAAGGACATCTATGCTTATTATGGTTTTTAGATAAACTAAGTGAACAGTTGTTGATTGAACTCAGTTATCGTAATTTATTGAACATGATCATGTAATGTAAACCCATAAGCTCCTCTTAGGGTGAATATTTGAGAATCTATAATTTATTTTGTGTATAAAACCTTGTGTGGTGTATTTAGTTCTTTTGGTTAATTACATTATCAGCATCGGATTCCACTTCTGTACATATTAAGCATGGTAGAGAAGGTGGACCACGTCAATGAATTCGAATCAAGGTCCAACTTCTTGTTTTATATTTCTTTAGTGGATGGGTGGGTTTAGCTGGTCCGGTGAGACGATATTGAATTGTTTGGACTTTAGACAAAAGATGACGTTTGAGTATGAAGTTGTGCTTGGATGAAGGGGTGCAGGTTCAGTGATTCATGCCATGTCTGAGCAAGATAAGCGGAAGATGAGGGGCTTGCCTCCTCGTTCCCTTTTACGTATGCATGATGCTCATGAGCATCTTATGTCTAATTGGATTTTCTTTTCTCTAACTGGATGCTATTCCAAAGATGTGATGTTAGAGCTTGCTTACACTAAGTATACCATCAGTGGATTGTGATTTTGGCGTTTGAGTTACTCGTTTCTCTTGTGGATATGTTTCTTAATGTCCTCTTTGGCAATCCAATAGATAGATATTAGCATTATTCACTTTTAGAACTCAATAATTTGGGGATGCCAGTCAGTTGTTTTGGTCATTTTATCCTTTGGTTGTTGATGCAATATACACGTGGTGGCTGCTCGCAAGCGTTTCTTGTAGGTGTCAATCTTTTTTGCTCTCGTACATTTTAGATCTAAGGGACAGAACAGTTAACTTGTCAGTGAGTCAACTATGATTTTCTCCCCCTTGCTGCGATTCAAGAATTTGATTATCTGGCTTGTCTTTATGTTTAAGCAGCTTCAATTTTGTTTCATGGCACATAAAGATATTCATTCTTAGTGTGAAATGAGTCTGAATTCCTCTCCTGTTAGACTCACCTGTCATGATACTCCTCAAAATTCAACTTAATCATCTTTTCTTGAGTAGTTGCACTAATTGTTATAAACCTTGTTCTTATCCCTTCTTTCTGCAGGTTGTCAATTCTTTTCATGAATAGTTGATATATTATCTTTAATAAGCTAGAATCAGTGGGTATCTGGTGCTCAAAATGAATGGCTACAGCTTGTTGGAGCATACTCTTCGGAATATACTTTGCTCTATCAATCCGTTGGATGAGGATTGGTCTATGAGATTTCAACTCATTGATGAACTTCGAGCCATGGTTGAAAACATAGAAAGCCTGAGAGGTAATTTAAAGTCGTGATACTTCGTTATATATCCTGATTAGTGGAACTTTGGTGGTTAGGTTACTTGTTTGTCACTTGTAGAGACGATTTTTCTTGATTCTCAAATCAGGTAAAACATGATGTACAATATTGCGGGTTGGTATGTAGGGGGTGTTTCTATGTACTGACAACTCAATGGACGGTGTTTTCCTTGTAATTTAACAGCTCATCCCTACACCCTTTTTGATTTTGGAGTTAGAAATGATTCTTCTCAGCTTTGGACTTTGGTGCTTTGGAAGACCATAATTGCAAGCTAAGATTAATTTTAATAGGATGAACAGCTTTATTTAGTCTTCTAGATTTTCTTCCTGTAAATTAGATGCTAATTTGGTGAAGTTCTAAGTTCCTTTTCTGGAATTACCCTTCTTTGGGTCATCTTGGTATGTTAAAGGTGAAGACATAGATACTGTTTCGGTTAACAAGCACAAAGTTTACTATTGTCAGCTTCTACTCTGTGACCAGGGGCAACTGTAGAGCCATTTGGATCTTTTGTGTCAAATCTTTTTACAAGATGGGGAGATCTTGATATTTCGATTGAGTTGCCCAATGGATCATATATCTCATCTGCTGGAAAGAAGTACAAACTAAGTCTACTAGAGGATGTGCGAAAAGCTCTGAAAGCTAAAGGTATGCTCTCATGATTCATGCCCTTTGATTTGCGTAAATAAATTATTTCTTATTATGAAAATTCTCCACTAGTAGCAAGGATCAATGGTCAAGCAGTTTGAGATTTTCTCGATGAAAAAAATCAAATACGCTCATAGCATTTGATGGGCCTGGGATATTTATATGGGGTGCTAAAATTGAAGATAAATAATAGGAAGTTTTTCCTTTGGCAACTGGGAAGGGCTTAGAACTGTTAAATAAAGGAAGTTGCTGCAGTTTTATTGCAAACGAGCCAAAAGAATGGTTACCGGTGTCAGATATCAATTTAGTTATTTGAAGGAATACCAACTGCTGCTTGGAGCTGGATTTGCGGCCCTCTTTTCTCAAAATGAATACTTGCTGAAAATCAAATAGCTTTGTCAGACATTTTAAATATCTTATCCAGTTGCCAGCTGTTACTATGTAAATAGAATTATTCTCCTGCGGGGTGAGGGGGATATGGATGTTCTTATTCTATCATAGTAGGACCCAACCTTGTTAGGAACAAGAGAAGCACTATGTTAGTGTGTAGGATTGAAGATCAGTAGCTATCATCCATTTTTTCTTCATACGATTGTTACAGATGCATTGAAGTACATGCGTTCACCTCTTTGCTTTGTTTTCCTTGTTATCTCATGGTAACTGATGTTCTGAGAATTTAGTTCTGGATCATGTCTGAAGTACCTCACTGATGTGACAATTTAACATGAGATATCAATATGTCATGGAATGCCTTTGAACATTCCATCAATTCGACATTAACAGCCGTAGTAATAGGATTCTGGAAAAGACGTAGCATTTTGTTACTAAAGTTACCTTATATGAAAAAGGGATTATATAAGAGATGCACTCAGCAGCAGCAACAACAACAACAACAAATCCAGTGGAGTCCCACAAGTGGGGTCTGGGGAGGGTAGTGTGTGCGCAGACTTACCCCTACCCTGGGGAGGTAGAGAGTCTGTTTCTGATAGACCCTCGGCTCAAGAAGACAGCAGCAGCAACAACAGAAAAATAAAGGATTGTAGAAAGGAAGTTTGCTCAGACTAGAAACCCTGAAGTCTGAACATGATATGTGTAATATCCAAGTGTGTTGATAACTTTCCGAGCCTAACTCAGTTGTTTTTGTCCTTGTCTTAATTGTAATTTAATTCTATAATGCTGCTGTTAGCATTGTTGGAGAAAAGCCGGAGAAATCTTCACCCTCGTTTGTTTCTTGCTTTCAAGAGTGTGTTGGTCTAATTCATTGCTAGCGCTACTTCACAGGTGGATGCCGAAAGCTGCAATTTATTACCAATGCAAGAGTCCCAATCTTGAAGTTTCAGGGCAATTACAATATTTCTTGTGATATATCAATCAATAATTTGAGTGGCCAAATGAAGTCCAAAATATTATACTGGATCAACATGATTGATGGACGATTTCGTGATATGGTTTTACTGGTATGTGCCCGTATAGGAGACAATGAGGCTACCTTGGAATAATGTGACTCGATTCGATGATTTCTCCTTTGTGTGCAGGTGAAAGAATGGGCTAAGGCACATAATATCAATGATTCGAAGGCTGGAACTTTGAACTCATACTCTCTCAGCTTGTTAGTTGTGTTCCACTTTCAGGTAATTTTCTGTTGCATTAGTTTTACATAGGCAGTTTCTAGTCTCACATCCCAAAGTATTGAAGAGTATGAAGCCTATTGCTTATAGGGTAATATAACTCTTGATTTTGCAGTACAGACTTGCATTTCATCTAAAGCAAATACATGATCTCTAGATCCTTTTTTTACCAAGAGAGTTGGAGAAGGAAAAGGGGGGTAAAAAAGTAAAAAAGACAAGCTATGTAGTTTTATCATTACTAGCTCTTTCATTTTTATAATTAAAAAAAGTGAGGAAGCATTAGGAAGAGTTATAAAAAGAAGTGAAAGTATTGGGAAGAAGAGAATAGAAAAGAAGTGGACTTCCAATCAGTAAGTAGGGACTGAGAAAATACCTATCAGAGATGAGTGATTTTCAGGGAAAATTGTACAGCAAAGTCACCCCCATCAAATGATTGGCTCATAAGTGAATATTGAAATAAAAAAGATAGGCTGGACCTGATTGTTTACAATGTTGTTACTTAGTCATGTTCCTTTTTTAAGACTGTTGCAGTTCTATTAAATTTCTCATCTCTTTTGTAAATAACAGAACTTTTTTCTCCCCTGGTCTTAGCTAGCCTACTTATTTTTGCAGACATGTGTGCCTGCAATTTTACCACCTCTTAAAGAAATATATCCAGGAAATATGGTTGATGATCTTACAGGTACTTAAATGATTGTTTGTTATTGATGTTTGAATAAGCTGATGCATCTTTCTGTGTCAAATTTACTGTTATGTTTGTTGGGGCGTGAGCTCTTCACTTCAAGTTATATAGTGGTTATCTTGCAAAGAAATTAGGTGGCATTTGTTTGAGGAATTTTTTTTTCTCAAAAGTTGCAACATTTGTTGCCAAATGACTTTGTTGTTTAAAGGGTCGTCTCCAGACCCATTTCTCGGTCATAAAAAGGTATCTTTGTTGAAGTTTTATCAAGAAGTTTTTGCAAAACTTTTTCCAAGAAACTGGGTTTGAAGACGTTGTTATAGGACATTTTTCAATGAAAAATTCTTCCACCCATAAAGCACTCACAAATTCTCAAAAAGTTTGTAACTAGTCACATGTTTCCTTTATATTTCCAAAAAAAAATCAATAAACTTTTACCAAATTTTGGTCCAATGAGTCCTTAATAGTTTAAAGATACTAAGTGAAGATTTTTGTCAATTGAAGTATACACTCTTCAGCCGAGATAGATTAAGAATGGCAATAATCAGTAGCGAGGGGGGGGGGGGGTTGTGTTAAAAAAAGGTGAGGAATTTAAAGAGTTTGAAGTACTCTATCAACTGTGAATCACAGAGAAAACACAGGAAAGGAGGAGATAGGAGGTGGTGGGGGGGGGGGGGGGGTAGTGTAAGGAGTTTACCTTTTGGAGGTTAAGATAATTTTTCTTTTCCAAAATTTGGCCATATGACAAGCTTTTGTCATGGAGCAGACATCAAAAGCAAGTCGCCAAACAAATACTATTAAGCATGAGGCTTTGTGAGGGAGATGAATGACCTGTTTACAAGAGCATCGAGGTTGGTAAAGGGAGTGAAGATCAACATTTGTCGCCCTCAAACTAAAAATGGAAGAAATCCAAAGTTAATGATTAGAAGCTTGGGGAAGGAAGTCGGGTGAGAAATGATATGGTTTCGACTAGAAGGAAAGTTGGAAAGATTGTGGTGTTATGTGAGAGGAAGTTGAAACTCCGACATATGAGAAAAAGGAGAAGTTCTCCATTGCCCCAGAATTTTTAAAATCATGGGAATACTAATTAAATGGGATTTTGTGGAAATTTATGAGCCAGTAGAAGGGGTCAAAAAATATTTTAGGAAGAGATCTCTAGGCTGATGTTGGTATGGAAGGTCAGAGATTTTAAGAGGGCATTTCAATGCCATAAGATTATCGGAGGAATTCCCTGATTTTATTTACTTCTCCTGATTGAAGTAGGTAGTTATTTGGCAGGCATGTGAAAGAGGAAAAGAAGGAAAAAGTCCTAATTCAACAAGGAAGTTTGTCTAGAAAATCCTGAATGTTGTTAGGCTTGTTAGTGGTTTTATTCGAGGTCTCTGCAATTGAGGTAATCAAGTTAAGCTAGAAGCAAGTGCCGAATAATTGAGCAAAAATCAAAAGAATATGAAAACAAAAGTGCGTCTTGCACGTGTATGGGGTTTAATAGAGCTGCTATAATTGTTAATTTAGGTTAATGGTACTGATTATGCTAGACTGGTAAAGGCTCAGGTACATACATATGAATATATTATTCAGTATAGCTTTTCCTTTCCTTCCTGATGTATAGACAGCTCTAGTTAGTAGTTGAGTAGCCCCATCAGGATGACAAGATCGAAGGTATCCGTACGAACTGTTAATTGAAGGGGTAGGAACAAAAAATATATTAAATAAGTGGAAAAGTAATTTCGGCCATAGTATAAAGACTCTCTACTCTTTGTTTTTTTAGCAATTTAACAGTGATACATATGATGAGTGATGACTTTGTTTAGAACAACAGGTGTTTCTCCTTTTTCTAATTAGAAGTAGTTAATTTTTTAGGCAATATATAGACAGACACTCAAACTTGGCCACTGTAAGTTTGACACTTAAACTTATCCAATGATCAATTAAACACTTCAACTTGACACAGGTGTGTCTCGAGGACACTCAGATCTGACCAGGCACTGTGTATGTTGTCTTCACATTTGAGAGCGTGAGATGTTATCCCAACACATTTCCAACTGAAAAAGTATAGCAACATTCCATTTTACCCTTATAATCTACCTCTATTTCATTTGTAATGCCCCTCTCCCATCCTTCTCCAAATTTCATTCTTTTCTCTCGACACCCACATCCCTTCCTTGCCTTCATTGTCTATTAATGATACTCTTGCAATTCGTTTGGTGAAAGTCCAACAACCCTATGCTAGCCGGCAATCCCTGACCTTTTGTTTCATTTTACCTTTTGTTTCATTTGCTTTTTTCTTTTCTCAAAACCTTTCTTCTCAAATCTATGCCGCTTGATATTACTTTTTTGGCCAGAAATCACCTCTGACGAGAAACGATCACAGCCTCTTGGATTTCTCCCATTTTTATAGACTTTAAAGAACACAAGAAATAGAGACATTGATTCTATGAAATTGAACTAATAAATCAATTCCTTTCTCTATGTAATTTGCAATCTAATCACAAAAGAGATATTGAAGGAATCGTTGGGACAGAAAAGAGGGTGGTACTTGAGATGGAGAGGGGAGAACCAATTAATTAGTGGTCAATAATGGTGGTTTGTGGGTGAAAATGGCTGAGGAAGAAGGAGGTGGACGGGAGGATTTTTCTATTTTAAATAAAAAATTACTTACAAATTTTTTATGTTTTAAAAAAATATATGTGCCATTTACTAATTTGTCCATTTGACATGTCACCCGTGATTGCCATTCATGCGTGAAGTCTGTTAGACCCAGGTGTCCACGAGACACACGTGTCAAGTTGAAGTGTCTACTTGATCATTGGATAAGTTTTAAGTATCAAACTGACAGTTGCGACCAAGTTTGAGTGTCTATCGGTATATTTTGCCATCTTTTTTTGTAACCAAGAAATCCCCAAGGGCCAGTGGTGCACAGTTCAAAATTTGGTGGATAATTGGCACGCTATTCTACACTTCTTCACTTAAACACCAGCTTTTGTCTGCGGCAAGGTTCAAATGTGTGGCGTGTGCCTTACCCACACTTTTTGAGATGCGCTCTTACCACTAGGCTGAAGCCTGGGGGGAATCAAAAGTACTAGTTTAGTTTCTTTGTTCCTGCTGATGCTTATTTTTGCAATGTTTTGCTTTATACTTTATCTGTTCATATATTAATATGACACTCTTCATTTTGGACATTCTGAATTTTTGACACTTTCTATAAAAAATCCACAACGTTCAAGAATTTGAATTCGTTAATATATATGTCAAGGTTAAACTCTATTTTTGTCTCTGAAAAAAGAAACCTTAAAACTCTATTTCCAATCAAATACCTTGTTATAAAATGAAAGGGGAGAGAGTAGTTCTTAAAGGTACTTGAGATGCTTCTTACTTGCTTTTATGACCTTGTGCTCCATAGATTTACATTAAGCAGAATTTTTCTGGATTTCAAGGGCCGGGGTCAGCACTCACCTCAGAAGTATACCTAAACTATAATTACACAAGGTTGCATTCCTGGGTTTTCTAAAGCATAATGATGGTAATGTAATGCTCACGAAGTATGAGAGGAATAGTTTACTACTGCAATGGGTTGTCAAATGCATGGGTGGCAACTGTTAAATTCATTTGTGAACACCAGGTACCAGGTTAAAATGGACAAGTAGGAAGTCCAAACAAATATAACTTGGTTTATACATAAAGGACTGCTATTGCTGACTCATCTGTCTTACTACAACTACCTTCTCCCTACTCTCTTTTTTAGACCTATATAACTAAACGCCTAATGTTCCACCAATCTATTGGAAAATGCTTTTGCAGGTGTTAGGGCTAGTGCAGAGAAGTTCATTGAAGAAACATGTGCTACAAATATAAATCAACTTATGTCAAAAAAGTCACGAGCGATTAACAAGAGTTCTCTGTCTGAGCTTTTCATCTCATTTATTGCAAAGGTAGTAAGTTGTCCAAGGCTCTGTTGTCTGTCATGATTGTCATATGATGTTGAACCTGTGGACTATTTTGATATTTTCTTTCTATGGATATTTATTACAACCTTGAAACTATAACAATGTTGCAAGAAAAATTAAATGTGATCCTGTATATAGTTCTGCAACATCAGCTCAAAAGCCTCTGCTCAAGGAATTAGCCCATTCACTGGCCAGTGGGAAGACATTGAGGGCAACATGAGATGGCTGCCTAAAACATACACAATATTTGTAAGATATCTCTCTCTCTCACACACACACACACCCACCCCATGCGCCCACACCCTTTTTTCCCATCATGCGCCCACCTTAAGAAGCAAAAAGAAAAGGATAAACCAAAAAAACTGCTGCAGGTCTAGGCCTTTTTTATTTTGATTTTTTATTTTTTATATTTTGACATTCAAGTTACTATATATCCAGGTTGAGGATCCCTTTGAGCAGCCAGCTAATGCAGCAAGGGGTGTAAGCAGTAAACAACTAACAAGAATAGAAGAAGCATTCAGGAGGACTCACTTTATGCTTATTTCATCGAATCAAAATCAGAATGAAGTTATTTCTACTCTTGTTAAGCCACATGTATCGAAGTTTGTGGCAAGAACTCCTACTGGAATCCAAAATAACTACAGTAGAAATGGCCTTAGGCCGCAAGTGCAGGCGCAGAGAGCTATAAAGCCACCATTACAAGTACAACATCAGCTTCAGGCACAGAGAGCTATACCGCCACCAATGCGAGCACAACATCAGCTTTATGCACAGAGAGCTGTACTGCCACCAATCCAAGCACAAATTCAGCTTCAGGCACAGAGAACTTTGCAGCCACCTATCCAAGCACCACATCAGCTTCAGGCACAGAGACCCATATATCCACCATTTCAAGCACATCGGCTTCAGGACAAAAGGTTGGACAGGAATCAGAATTCGTCGGCGCAGAGACCCACTCAGGCTAATCGTGTTCAAACACAGCCAATATGGAGGCCAAAATCTGACAGATAGGGGCATGAATTTGACTTGTGCTGCTGAAACTAAGCATCCTTTCAAGTGCTTACTATTTTTTGTTTTGTTAGGGTAAAATGATGGCTTGGTCCAGAGAGATCAACGAGTCTTTTTGCCAGTTTTAGAGAAAAAGACAATTGTCCCTTCTGAGGGGACATCCGATAATTGGAACGATACAGAAAAAAAACACTTGATAATACAAATTGCTGTGCGCTATAATTCCAGCACTAGTGATGGAGGATTCTGACGCACAATACTTGAGATATATTCTCTTAGAGGTGTTCCAACGCCCTTCCCACCTTTCCCCCTGGCCTGCTTGAAATTATTATGGTGGTAGTCTATTATACAATGATCAAATAGTAAATGTATCATTAAGGTAAGATCAAAACCATACATAGATTATAGCAGGGGATTTCGTGAAGTACTGAACCGTAGTTCAACAGGGTTTAATATACTACCTTGTTCGCTTTGCAGCTAGATTAATTTATTTTAGCTTGAATTATCGACATTGAAGGGGTACTGCCTTTAAGATTTGCGGTATTACAATATGTTAAATACACTACCCTCAACAATGTCTTCTCTTGGTCTTAGTTATAATACTTGTCAACACAAACATGCTAAAATGTACCTATAAAAGTAAAAGAATAGTTCGATTTCTTATCAATACTTCTCCTACGGCCTCTAATCTGAGTACCACAGAATCCCTGAATTTATCAATTTGTAGAACACACGCTGTTGTCTCATTTGGCAAACGAGTTCCTGTGGCCTTTTTCATGAATTGATAACAAACTAGTAAGAGTGGTTTACTAGAAAAATATTAAAACATGCTACTACAGAAGGGAAATCTTGATGCACGGGGGAAAACACAATTATCCGTCGTGTACCATCAAACATAGAAACGTGTACTCTTCAGCAGAGGTTATAATATTTGTCAACACAAACATGCTAAAATAATTTGCTCCCTCAGATTAATCTTAGGTACATCCGCTACAAGTGAATTTGGAGCTGGATACATATTCATCATTGCAATTACGAGCTGCAACAGCAATAACTGGAAAGAGATGGTGGCATTATCAACACAATGATGCAAGTAACTTCTGTGCCTATCATAATAAAAATGAAAGTAAATGAATAAAATTAATAACTGGAGAGTAAATTTCTTTGAATGCAAACCAAAAAATGTTTTCACCACAGTGGGCTAGCTGCACATGAACTGCCTCATTATAGGCTACGTGGTTCTAAAAACAGCATGCGTTACGTAGGGCAGCCATCCCCTTCAGCTCCATTTATTGCAGAATGATGAAGCTCTGAATAATCACAGTTTATCCACATCAATATATATTAATGGAGTTGAGCAGTTAGTCTCTAAACTTTCCATACTGTCTCCTGCTCTTCCAATGAAAGCGCATGACCAGACATTTCCCCTTTCAACTCAAACACTCATCAACTCAGGCTCGTAAAAGACGTTTGTCACATGTCAAAATTCTGTAACTTGCATGAGGACCCTCAGATGTGTCCCTCAGAGATACGTGCCAACCCATGGCTTTTCCAACTTCCTGAAGTTCATCCATAACAGCAAGAGAATCACGGATGTATATCCGTCCACCAGGTCTTAATAACCGATCCATTTCAAGCATGATTGTGGATATGTTGCATCTGAAACTCCAAAATCAAACAGAGTCATGGCAACATGTTCTTCATATGCTACTCTAAAGAAAGCCCAACTTCACTACAGTGAGACCCCATGAACTTGGAGTCGGACCACAATATCATATTGGAGCAAATTTTAAAAAGTTAATAGTGTACCTTTTCCTTTCAATGGAGAAGAGACCATGCGCATGCAATAAGTCATATGTTCTTGGGTAAGTATCAAATGGTTCACACCTGGAAAATGGCACAGCTATTTATATGTAATCCAGCCAGATCTTTCTGCCTCAAGATGTCACATATCAAAAACAGAACATCCAAATATGCATTTCCTCCTACCTACTTTTCCAAAGAAATGCCTAAAGATTTGCATGTCCTATAAGCCAGAATACTGTATCTCATAGGATGGAGGATGCTACTACAAAATCACTCAGCAAGCATCGTTTCCTTTTTCATCTTTTTATTTTCCCCATTTTCCCCTTCCTCTCAAATCATATTGGTGTTGGGAATGTGTAGAGACTAGAGACAAAGAATTGCATGGCTCAATAAAATTATTACAATATAAGGATACGCCGTACCTATAAGCACGAAAAATATAGACTGAAATACAAGATGAGCAATTCTTACCAGTCATGCATGACTCCAAGTAGTCCACGGTCATATATGATGGGTAAGGTATTTCGGCCACTAACAGGGACAACATTTAGAACCCAGCAATCCAGTTGATTTTCAATCAATGCTGCTGCAAATCTAACAAGAAGGCAATTGATAGGCATTCTTTCCTAAAACTTTAGAACAGTTTTACGCAAATGCATTAAAGTTAATAACCACAAAAAGGAAAGCAATAGAGATGGAACAAATACCCTCCAAAACCAGCTCGCATATCCAACACATTTCTAAGTTTGAAGTTCTTCCAGTGCAAGGCACGGACATAACTTTCAATTATTTCTTTCCAGAATCTTGACTCTGCCCTGAAAAGCTCTTTTCTAGATATATATGCATCAAGTTGTATGCTCTGGAGCCTCTCTGGTGGATCGTGAAGGCGTGAAGGCCATGTGGTAATATTTGCACCATATCCTTCTTCTGGTAGTCCCGTAATACAAGCTTTCAGATCAACATACCTAAAAGTGATTTTGGCAAAAAGTCATAAAGGGCTAGAATGAAAGAAAAGCATGAACAGAAAATGAATCATGCAACTACAAGGTATTCACAAGCTTTTGAATCAGTTCACTAATATTAGGTACTGCAAGCTTTTGAATCAGTTACTGTCGGAGACGCTCAAACTTAGTAAATGCCCTAAGAATTTTCAATAACCACCTATTAGAAAATAAGTGGATATTTTATAGATGGCAGTACCTTTCTATGCTGACTAATTGGCTACAAGCTGCTAACAGTGCAAGTTAACTCCAATTTTATAACTTGGAAAAGAAAAGGCAAACAAAAGACAGTTAGATTAAAGGGTAAGTATCATTTTTGATTTCACAGGCATGCCCAATTAACTCACATTTTGAGAATAAGTTGAATCTAATGGGTACTCCACAATGGAAAGCACCACCTACACTAGGACATCAATTCTATTTAGTCTATTCCAATCATATGGGCCAACAGAAAATTCCTAGGCGAGTTTTAATGAGGATGTCCTAAAGAACAAAGGTCCCGATTTCAGTTGTATACTGAGCACTATATGAGATGAGATAGATGCAAAAAGTATAATTTCTCATTCTGCAATAAGATATGGTATAGCCATATGCAGAAGTGCTTATGATGATAATGTATGCCAACACCACTGCGGTGGTCTTTAGAGCAAATAAATATAACTTCTAATGTTGCTTAACTAATGTTTTCCACAGCCTACATAATATTACTAATTGCTGTGTTCCCTCTCAGGAAAGAACTTGTCCTTCCCACTAAAAAGGACTCAGCGAACATGGAAAGACTGAAGCATTGATCTCCACGCAAGTTACTAAAACTCCATTGGCATGTGGCACAAAACAATAGGGGGCATCCTGAACCAAAAGACACCATACATCATTTACTTTTAAAGATATTGGAAAAGTTAATCCACTGGTAAGTGGCAGAAGACAATGTGTTAGCAATCAGCTAGTCTAAGTGTGAAAACATTTTTAAATACAAATCTCTATGTTTTAAATGGTCGTAAATTTTGCTTCTCGGGAGTCTAACAAAGTAATTTTGCATCATATTAAATGTATACTTCCATCATCTTCACATGGAAAAGAGTTGTGACCGACATTTTATTTTAGAAAGTCGCTAATATCTGAATGTTCTTTTCATAAACATAATCTACGTCCAATTTAGCCCAATAATCGGTCAAATTGATTTTCACTAAGCAAGAACTGGCAAGCAAATTGGACATGAGGGAATAATTTTTAATTTAAAACAAAGATACAGGATCGGGGAAAGAAGATTGAACAAATAACTACATCTCAGTGCAATGATTCCTCAACTTTTTCTTGTTCTAGTTAGATGGGTGACAGCAGTACAACGGGCTGCGTGACTTCACCAAAACGTTTCATCCAAATAACTCCTCCTATGGTCTTATTAGTAGTATATTTATAATGTATATTTTCTCCATCTCTCTGCACATGCACAACAGATCAAAAGCCCCAATTGACGACGAGGAAACTCAAATCTTTTTATTCCTTTGTTCTGTTTTGGGTGAGGAGCACCAATAGGAAGTTCCATATACTCTGTAGACCATATATGTGTACACGTAAAGGTACTTCAAAAATATCGTTTCCAGGGGCCATGACCTCCCCTTACCCCCCCTCCCCCTCCCCCCCCAAAAAAAAATAAATAAATAAACATCCATTATAGTTTTGTTAGAAGAAACCACTTATGGGTGTATATCTGATGTGAGTTCACTTTTGCAGTAAAAAGAATGTGTAATTCTATTGCAGAATACGTGGTGATAGAAACAACTGATACCATCAACAGATGAATAGTGAAATGAACTGACAACATGCATGGTGCCCATGCTTGTACTAATTCAAACTCTATTTTTCTCTCCCAAATCTCAAGAATGTACAGTTTCTTGATAATCAAGTAAATTGCATCTATTGAATGCAGCTTTTATCAGGCACAATTGTTGCACAGATGTTCAGCCCTTTTCTATGCCAAGATCTGGTTCAGATCAATCTCGAACCTATATGCAAGGATGATTTCTTTTCAATTTACAACACAGCTAATACTAAAAAGCATCATGACCCAATAAGAAAAAATTAATCTGCTATGACTGTAAAAGTAAAGCCTTGCTAAACAACTAGTAAGTTGATTGGTACATTAGTAAGAAAAATGAGAACAAACCATCTCAATTTTCTCGGGCGAGGCATGTAATTACACATTTAGCACAAAACTCAACAACTTCCTGAGGCATTGGATGAAAAAAGAGGAACTGCATCCAATTACTTTTTCTACGAAGTGCAAAACAATACAAATTAGCATATGCGTTCAAAAAGGAGGACCAAAATCTGGACAACTGCGAAGAAGGAGATAAACTTGACAATGTTAATGGGAAAAAATAAAAACATTAAATAAGCATAACCAATATAATCCTCACCAAACATTGTCTGGATCATCCTGTGGATCACAAAGCGGCGGTTGGGTTCCTTCTTCGCGGCTTAAATAGCAACTGTTGT